GTCTTCATTTAGCTCCTACATAAACTAATTAGAGGGAGAGGGGAAAAAATGAATGCAAGCTTTGTAGCAAATCAGGAAAAACAATAAAGCGCACCTGCTGGTTCTAGCTGAGTGCATTTCTGAGAATTCTCACCACTGATGAGGATAACGGGATTTGACTGGGATACAGTTACTGTAGAGGATCAGTSTACAGTAATAAAATGTCATGAAGCAAAACATCCTGGCTCATGAATATTGGGATATCACTTACCAACGATAAAGTCATGTATAAAAAAATAAAAACAATGATTTATGTGAAATTTAGCAGGAAATTCAGTGATGAAACCAGAGCTTGAAACATTTCAATGAGTTCTGAGGCCACAGATACAATAAGGTGATGAATGAGCAGCACTGAGGTTTGCTGCGAGTCACAGTTGCACCTGTGAGCTCTAACAAGCTCAGCTTTCTTCAGGGATTAAGATTACGCCAAACTACAAATCTGACGTTGATTTGTCGACACCAAGGTTGCTGAGGCTCAGTCCAAATCAAGATTTAAATGGCAGTCCAATAGAAAACTTGTCAGGCTTTCCCATTAGAGATGAATTTGTTTGTATCTGTTGGGTTTTAATTATTGTGCAGCTGTAGCAAAAAGTGCAAATCTGAGATTTATTTACTGTTTAAACTGAAGCCACACAACGCACCAACACTCGGCCCAGATACCACAAAGAATGACAACCCTTTGGTGGCCCAGGTTTGGTCTGTCAGAGGTGGTCAATGCATGGGCCAGCATCACATAAACAAAACCACAACTGGACCAGTTATGGCATACAATCTTAGAAACAGTGGAATCATTGCCAGATCTGGRCCACACCTGTTTTATGGCACTGTTCTTCTGGGTCCTTGGATTATTTTCTTTGTGATTACAGGTTAACAAGACAAGATGTTCAAAGGATGTTTAGAACTAAGCTACTTCTTGAAGTTCCAGAAAAGATCCCATTAACCATAGAAATATTTTCAAGTGGGGTTCTATGAAAAAGTTGTTGCACCTCGATTTGAAGTAACAATAAAGTTTAATTCTGCTAATGCTAAGATCAAAGTGAATTACTGCCYTTTTAAAACAAACTATGTTGTTCTTTAAGTTTGAAAGGCTCAGACAGTTCACTAACAAAATCCATGCTGGGTTATGTTTATGATGATCAGATTATCAGCTGTGAACTGTTCATATCTTGAGAAAACAAAATTAATAAATCCCCCCAAAATTAAAGTGAGCTCATCCTGTTATTCATCAAGTCATCTTCACGTATTMTCTCTCTTTGGTCTCTGTTCTACATTTATGCCTCTGACATTTCAGCACTCCAGCCTCGGTTCTGGCTGCACAGCGAGATTTACAGGGGATGGTCTTAAATCGACTGGTAATGAGGCAAGAAATGAGCGCCTCACTTCTAATTTCTCTCTTCTCTAAGCACATTTTTCATCTCTGTGAGCACAAAAGGTGTTTGAGCGGGAAGGAATGCTGTCTTAGTTCAGCAGCAGACACATATTTGTATTGTCTATTTACATTTTGTGCTATCAACCTCCCCGAGGAGCTCGAAGCTTTGGAAAATGAACACTATAAACAAAGCAAAAAAAAAAAAAATAAATAAATAAAGATGTTTCTTATTCATCTGTCTCATTGGAATCTCAAATTTAACATCCTACAATATTGTTTAAGCTTTTTTTTTCCAAGGTTAAAGATGTTTATAAAAATATTTTCATTTTTACAGCCGCATTTTATACTTATGCTCTTTAAGAATAATTTTCAACATTTCCATCACATTCCTTTTGAAATGTTAAACTCTATGAACATTTGATACATAGCAACCAGAATGGTTTTCATTCTTCTTCTTCTTCTTCTCTGTCTCTCTTCTGGCAGTATTTGTGTCATTTCGTGATCCAAACTACGAGTATATTTTGCTAATTAATGACCTGAGGCTGTTTGGATTCATGGTTGCAGGGATCAGTTATTGGTTTTTAAAACCAAGACTTAAAAGAGGAACACATGAAGGCCGCAGCAGCTCGGTGGTCTGTGCTGCAGACTCATAACCCTGAGGCTGTGTGRTTGAGCCRAGGTTGCATCAGGAAGGGCATACAGTGTAAAACAATTGCAGGATCTTTCATGCAAATTCACTCACCGTGGTGACCCCTGCAGAACGGAGAACTTAAAAAAATGGACACAGCCTTCTTGGATAAAATAAGAAAACATTTATGACCTTGATGTGTAATGCCACTGACCACCAATAGGGGATGGTTTCCAGCATCTGTTCTACTTCTCTTATGCAACATCAATGATGGCATTTTTGCATTTTAATTTGTGCAGAGTATTTTAAAAATGCACAAATATTAAGTCATTTTATTTGCGACACAATAATAGATGACATCACTGTTAAAGGAAAGGTGAAGACTGTACCGGAGCATTCGACACTATGACGCTGAAAACAAGAGGGGGAGACGGTAGAGAATGTTAAGCTAATGTTAGCTTCTTGTTGTCTGGTAGTTTTCTACAGTTGCAATGATTCTAGTAAAGTTAGTCTCATATTTGTGACCTGACAAATCAATAGGCAACAGTTGCCGATGTCAAATCAGACCGAGCAGGTCGGCCCAAATAGAACCACGTCTTTTTGGGCTCCTGCAATCGGGCTGGAATTGCACCATAAGAGCTAATAAAAAACCTGCAGAACCTGGGTTTGAACACAGGCCGGGCCGGGCCTTACAGTGCAAAAATGCCATAACATGGCTCATGAAATATTCTTAGTATAATAAACTTTTGCCTCCAAATCATTATTTTCAGTAGCATTTTTTATTTATTCAGTTTACCAGAGTTAAAATCAGCCTATATTGAAAGTTTTTTTTTTGTCCAATCAAATCAGCTCTCTTTTTGTCCATAAATCTTTTTGCATTTGTCTTCCAGCACCACCATGATGAGAATGGGTTAAAATGATACACTTCTGTTTCACCTCAGGCCTTGAGCTACTGCTAGAAATCACATTTCAGCAGCAGACTGCATTACAGTGGTTATAAACTATACAAATAGAATCATATTGCAGTTCTGCGGATATCAAACGAATGTCAGTGAGAAACTGGAGTTGTCATAAGGAAGGAAATTTAAACAAATCAGCAACAATAAAGGATACAGTTGGACACTGAAGTTTCAACATGAGTTAGCATTTTAAACTAATAAAAAATACAATTCACATGATGGATATGCTGAAACTTTATATCTGTCCTGTCCTGTACAACAGTAGAAAAATAAACTACATTTATTGTACTTTGAATAAATTGTTTTTAATAGGTTTCATCTTAATTTACAACATGAAGCAAATGGCTTGCTTTAAGTTTAAATTGTGAGGCTTAACTGACCATTATTTAGTTTCCCAACTTTGTGTAATAAAAAAGGAGCATAGCCCTAAATGAGTCAGTACACTGTGACATTATTATGGTGGTCACAGCTGCCGTGCTTTTTAGTCTCTCTAATTAAATCTTTAAAGTTGATATCATTCATTAGTTAACAAAGAAGTTCTTGTTAAAGCTTTAAAATGTCTCTTATAAAATTAATAAGCCTGAATCTGCACAAAGGTCTGAGACTGAACATAGATGTGAGTTCAAGCYAACCTAATTTCTCTTAGATCCGGAMCTAATTAAGACTCATTGTGTTCAGACTGCATAAAAACACAAGCTGGGTTCATACCTGGAATACTCGTACTTTTGAAGTGGACAGTTTCAAGTACAATGCTGAACGATTGAGCAAAGTTGCCTTACAGCTCGTAGGTCTCAGGTTCAAACTGTGGCCAGGGCCTTTCTGATGGACCTCACAGTCTCTCCATTCACATGTGGGTTCTTCAGTTTTTAAACATATTTCAGCTGTATTAATTGGAGATTCTGAATCYACTTTAAGTTTGTATTATTGTCTGTCTCGTGTTTGTGTTGACACTGTGATGAACTGGTAACTTGTCAGTTGTGTGCCCCACCTCTCACCTGTAGACTGCTGGAGACAGACATCATCTCCTGTGACCCTGAAGGATTAAACAGGCAGGCAATCAGTGAGCGAGCTCTAAACATTGAACTTCACAATTACTTCTTCATGTCATTTAGTATATAACTGCTACCTGGATTTTAATTAACAGATTTATTTGCATTTACCACTTACAAAACAGATCCTTTTTTTGCAGTCAACCAGCTGCAGTTACACCACAGACCTGTCCTACATTTTGAGGTGCTCCACATCCGTGCTTTTCAGTTTTACCTCACTCCCTGTGGTTCTGCAATGACAGCTTCAGTATGTATTTTTTTCTTTTACAGTACGTTGAACTTGTAAATGATCAGAAGCAGATTCAAGAAGTCTTTGTGAACATTTTCCAAAAATGTTTTTGTAAAGACCTGTTGTCTTCTTACACATAAGAAGTTGGCATCATTGAACCATCGTAATGACAGCAGACACGCACTTCACACCTACTCACCAACTCAGCTCTGTGACTACATTATTTGCCAGCTCATCGTGTCAGAGTAGTGCCTCAGTGATTTTACACACCATGGTGAGATGAACGTGTCCAAGGCCTGGCCAGAAAGCTTTGTGTTAAAGGGGCTAATCTAATCATATTTCATGCTGCTAAATGAAATGAACTGTGTGTGACCCGGAACATTTTAAATATGATCCAAACAATCGGAGCTCAGTGTTCTTCTCTTTCTTTCTAGTTGCACTTGCAGCTAAGTGTTTAATGGTGATTGGATCACCCAAAACAAATGCTAACACTCAGTCTGAGCGAGGCCATTAGGTTAAGTGTAGGCAGCAGCTTGGCGACTCCTATGAGCTCATCACCTCAGCTAGTTTCAAACATRTTGCTTCATTTGTAGTTGGGATTTCTTTCACCGGTTACAATGTGGGGGTTTTCTTTTGTATTAAAAAAACACTTCACTGGAACAAAAACTAGCACTTATAGAGCTGCTAAAAAGGTAAGGCCCTTGAGTACAAGGTGAAATGACAGGTTTCAGTTGTAACAAGATTATAAAACTTTTATTGATCCCCTCTGAAGATGACTTTATAAAGCAAATTAAACACATAGCTCAGGTTTACATTTTCTTTTTCAACGCAAACTTATGGCACCATTCTTCTTTTATTAGCTCACCAGAAAAAAATATATATTCATGTGGCTGTGGCCATGGTTTTATTTATACAAATGAAGAAGAAGTTTGCATCTTTATTAGATACACTGTAAAATAACAATTACACTATACTAATATTCCCCCCAAAACAGAATTTGCCAGGCCAGTAGAATTTGTTTAAGCCAATAATTATGGGTGCAAGGTAAAATTATACATTCCACTGACATATTGTCTGACACTAGTGTAAAACTCTGCCGGACAGAACAGTCAAGGAAGCACAATTGGTTTCCCCTTTGGAAGCAACACAGTGATAAACAACTGATGGAGAATATTAAACCCAGGGGTAGGATCCAGATATGACAAACAGATTTATGCATTGTTGAACTGAACAACGCAGGAGCCATCAATCCTGGGTCTTTGTTGGAACAGGGGGATGTGTCTTTACCCTCTGATTCCCCGTCCCTGTCATTACATTTATTCCTCTTCCCTGCTAAGTGCTAATACATTTACATTTTTAGTGCTGCTCAGTAATAAAAGAGGTGGAATGAGCAGGGGCCTTTTCTGTTGCTAAAACAAACATCAATGAACACCAATCACTGATGAGTCACCTCCCATCCCAACTCTCCTCTCCCACCATCCGCCCACTCAGCTTGGCTGCCGCCCCACAGTGTAGGTCAACAGTGTTGTGGTTTGAGTCTCCTCAAATGCACTCACAGTTCTTGGCCTCATCTTCTAGGTCACACACAAGAGTTATCCTCCAGTAGGAGGCTCCGCTTTAGTGGTTTTGTCCAATCTGTCAAAAGTTCAGGGAGACGCTTTACAACAACAACAACAACAAAAAAGTCAACAACTGAACTCACATGTGAAACACATAGACACAACAAAGGAAAAAAAAAGTGGGTGAGGTTGGCTTAATGTATCAGTGGGACATGCTTGTCTTTGGATGCTGCCAATTTGAAAATTGCAAAGTAGTACAAATAGTCTCACTTCAGAACTCACTCCAATMCGTGTAACAAAGAAGTATTCAAAATGCTTTTTTTCAGTTGTTATTTGATAAAACAATACCACAATGTCAAGCAAACACCGGGTTTCATGGCTAAAGAAAAAAAAGAGGGTCCACATTTTTTTTCAAATCAGTTTAAGCAGAAATAAAACCCATCCCATAAAGGGCAAATAAAACAAAGATAGCAGTGCAGAATTTCATTATTTAACAAACCATTGAAAAAAAAATAGCTAAGCATTTTTCAAAACACAGCCCAGTTCAATAGCAAAGTTAAAAATGAACACAAGTTTGCTGCAAAAACAAAAAAAAAAAACAAAACAAAACAAACAAACAAAAACCTAATGTAATACTGATTCTAGGAGAACAATCTGAAGAGGTATCACCACTACTGACCAGCCTTCAGAAGAGCTCAATCCTGCCGTCTGATGAATTAGGACAAAACAAACTTACTTTAAGACAAGTGGTTACTGGGTCYTTTGAAATAGAACAATTCACAGCTTTACAAAGCCCTTTCCTTGGATAGCTGGTAGGGCACATCAATATAGTTGAGGCATTTGGAACAATGAGTCAATAAGACAACATACTGTGTGTGAGCGGTGGGAAGGAAAACAGTGCCGAAAACGTCTGTTTCTCATCCTTAATAAATCCATTTTGAACAAACTGCTGTGGTTCCTGTGTGTGAAAGAAGAACTCTACCTGCGCCCACGCTAAGTTTGACCTTTCCACAAAGGATACATTCTTACATGTCACAGGGAAAGAGCAAAAAGGAAATCATACACAGGCCATTACTAAGATGGTGAAGAAACACTCTGCTGTGCATTTACACCTGGGGCATTGGCTGATGCCTCCTGCAGTGAACTGTTCTCACAGTTTCAGTTTCACATCCAGTACTTTCAGTGTAATGAACAGTAGGTCATTTGGAATGGGAGACCAGAAGAAGAAGGCACAGAGGGGTGCTTCAGAAGTGTCCATGCCAAGGGAATTTGTGCATCTATACAGTTTACCAATTACACTACGAACAGCATCTGGTACAATACATCATGTGTAACAGTAGTCTATATCTGGGATTCCTCCTTCTCTGTAGCCACGGTTGGTGACATGTCCAGCATTGGAAACATGGTTGGATCCTTTGTATATGCCAGTGCCATTGGAGGGAAATATTGTATGAATGATGTAATCCTCTCGTAATGGTTTTGGCTGTACTGGCTGACATGCCGGCATAGGAGTCATCTGGAAGCCTGGGCCACGGATCTCAAGAATGGTATTATCCTTCTTGGTGCCAGACTCAATGTAATCGTCATAATTTTTATTTTTTCTTGAATTACTCCGAGTATAGTGGTCACGGGAACATAAATGGCCAGTTCTATGTGCGTACCAACAAAAGACACCAAAAATAAGAGCCAGAGAAACAGTTGCGGTAGCTCCACCAATAATCCCTGCAAGGGGTAGGGTTGTTATCTGCCGTGAGTCTTGGTCCTCCTCTTCCAGTGGACTGAGGTCTGATGTTTCAGCTTTTGCACAGACTACAGCTTCATCCGAGTCAGCATCTCCAGAAATTGTGACTTTGCTTTCTGAGCTGGCAGGTAGTGGCACCATGCAGATAATGTAGCTAGAGCGGGGTTGCAGGGAGGTGAGCAAATATTCTCGACGATCACCCCGAACAAGGGTCTCTGTGATTGATCCCATGGCGTTCCCAGTACCAAGCCGGAGCCAACTCAGTCTAAAAGAGGAACTTGGCTGAGCCACACTCCAAGTAACACGCACGCTGTTATGAGACAAAGGTTTTACATTTAGAGCTAAGCTTTTGCCCACACCGCTGCTGCTAAGTGTGTAGTCTAAGGCAGAGTCGGGAAGCCCTAGACCAGGTCTCTTTGAGCGAAGGGTAAAGAGAGAACCCTGTGGAGGTGCATTGGTCGTAGAGCTCTCAACTCCACCTACAGCTCCTTTGTCTTTAGTCCCTGCTATTCTTAAAACCTCACATTCTTCCATCTCACTGGTTAAGTCAATCAAAGCTAAGTCTCGCACACGGTCAGGCCCATGGCAAATGAGCCCTCTAACCGTGATGGAGTTACCACGAATGCGCAGCCAGTCATACAGCCATCGCAAGTTGCAGCCACAGTGCCAAGGATTTCCACGCACCAGCAGCTGGCCAAGGTTGTCAAGGTCTTTGAAGAGTCCTCTTGGTAGTGTTGTCAGGTTATTTCCTGACAGGTCCAACCTCTGCAGTCGGTGCATCCCATCTAAAGATCCACGTGGCATATGTGTCAGGGCATTATCCTGTAGAGACAGTCTCTGTAAATGAGCACTGGGCAGGTTGACAGGAGGGGTTTGGAGGGAGTTGCGCACCAAGGACAACTCAGTCAGGTTAGAAAGGCGGGAGAATGTGTCGTCTGCTATGCGCTGGTTTGCCAAAAGGTTTCCATCTAAAACAAGACATCTAAGTGAGCTGAGGCCACGGAAGGCATGGGTTGGGATAGTAGAGATACGGTTATCATCTAGTCGAAGTTCTTCCAGAGAGGCAGGTAGGCCTGAGGGAATACTAGACAAATGGTTGCGTGACAAAAAAAGCAAACGGAGCCGTGGGTTGTCCGCAAAAGCCTGATCCTCAATGGAGACAGTGGAAATTGAGTTGTCGTCCAAATGGAGCTTTTCTAACAAGGGCATCCGTGCCAGAGTGCTACGAGGAATGGTGCGGATGTTGTTGTCCTGCAAATGCAGCTCACGCACGGATGGTGGCAAGTGCATGGGGAATTCATCCAGTTCATTATCATAGAGGTAGACAACACGGACGGAAAGGTGCCGCTCCAAGGACGTGGGAAGGCCTGGGTTGTTTATGTGGTTGTTCTGAAGGTAGAGAACAGATGCCGAAGGAGGCAGTGATGGGATCGAGCTCAGTCCACGATCATTGCAGTAGATAAAGTCTTCATCGCACCTGCATACTGATGGGCACGTCATGTCAGTGTCTTCAATGTATCCTTGTATCGTGGCTGCAGCAAACTGAAGCATGCCATTATATCCTGTTAGGCACAGAAARACCATGAAGAGCCAGGCCCACAGTTTAGGTATGCATGCAGGTGCCATTGTCAGGGACATGATTATTTGTCTTTTTTCCCAAAGAATGGTTTTATCATTAAATTGCTGCACAGAGCTGGAATCCTGTGACCTCCACCCTAGGGAAAACAAAAAACAAAAAAACAATTARCATTGATGCAAGAATTAAAGATCAAAACTGAGATCATTTCAACTAAGTTTAATGAACTTGGAAATATTTAGATGCCAATTTTTTTAGATGTAATTTCAATTTCTTATGAAGAAACAACATTCCAATAAGGGTATTTTGCACTTTGCACCAAGATTGAGTTTATTTCACTTTAACAGTCAATAATCGTGTCAGTGGCCTATGCTCACATGGATGGATCAATGTCTCCAAACATTCTACCATTGACTCAAAGCCAAAATGACAATGACTCATAGTCAACAGTCACTAAGCAACAGTAATCCATGCTTACAGAGAATTACGGGAGTACAAAATATATTGAGCAGTACTTTGAATCTTATCTTCAAAGTGACTACTTTGAAGAAAAGCAGGGTGGAACTGACAAATCCAATCTCACACATGGAATTAAACATTCATAGTGAAAAGGGAAGGGTCTTGAAAATACTCTCCACTTTTAAATTTTTGAAGACATAACAGACCCTGTGTAAATACTCTCTCTGCTTGTGTAAGCCGGACAGAGATGAAGCAACGTTTAATTGACAAATTGATGGTCACGAGGCACTCAGGATGATACATAAATGTTAGAAAGATTGTACAAACATTTCATCAGCATCTGAATCAACAGCATTTGTCACATAATTAACAGTTTGTAGTTATCATGATTGCTCAAGAAAATTCAACACAAAGTGTGGTGAGACATTTGTTGGCATTGCGATTTGTTGCAGTTGCTGATTAAGTGAAGGATTCCAGAACGATTAACYTGAAATTGATTACGGAGATTTGGGAGCCAGCAAGTTGCAACACTGTCAGTGACAACTTGAGCCCATCACCGTGTTCAAAAACCTGCATCTTTAGTGAAAGCGTTGAGGCCCGCACAGAAGCAAACCGTCAGGCAGGATTATTGATTTCCTCACAAATCCGAGGTGATCTGCCAGAGTAAATCGGTTCTCATAGAGATTACAAGACTCCCAAGAGTCTAAATCAACCAGCATAATAATTAAGCAAATGAACGACAAACTTTGCTGGAAGATGAGTTTGTTTTTGCAAATATTGTATGAATGTGTTTATTTAAAATGGTCCGAACAAAACTGATTGGCAGTTAGCCAATGTTTTTCAAGCGTAATGAAACTTTGATTTGACAAATAAACACCATCCAACACTCCAGCAGCTGTAGAGCCACTGCAAGTCAGGCATCCCTTAATGGAAAAGTAAATAATGCATGTCATTTGTCAGTCCAAATGTTTAGTAAATTATTCTTCCGAGTGAAGGATTACATTTGTTCCTRGCTGAGTTTGTGGCTGTTAGAAGGCAGACATGTTATTGATTCATTGTCACAGTTGGAGAGCTTTGTGGTTTAATATGACTTTTGCAATGAATGGATCTGTTGGGTGTGTTCTGAAATAAAGGGTTTTGTTTAGTGAGTTATGTTGAGCTCCACAGTGGTGTGGTTTGTTAGTGCAGTTGCCTTGCAATACAAAGGTTGTAGGTTCAAATCTCATTTGAATCTTGCCTTGTTTCTTGTGCACATGCATTTTTTTCTCTGGGTATTCCGATTTCCAAAAAAAAAACCTTCATGTAAATTATATACAACACCTCCTGCAGCTTGTGAYAGATGTAGTATAAGAACCATYATCGCCAACYCCCTCTGATATGGCACTTAGAGAGAGATATTGATGATTCTAAATTAACCCTTGGTAGTGGTGGGCATACTACTGCAAATCTTCTAACACCAGAATAATTTCATTCCAATTTCATTTAGCAGATTAGCTTCTTTACTACTGAAAACCATTTGTGGTCCTATTAGCTTCAGATAAATCCAGTTTTGACAACTTTAATGCACACTGAADGCAATATGGACATCAAAACCACGTTCAACACTTGTGCACTTAGAAGTCAGACGTGCATCAAAATTGCTCTTGACGCACGTGATGCGTGATGAACATTAGCCAACAAAAAATGACTATGGTTGTGTCTGGATTTAGGGGTTGCAGTTGAAATAAAATGCATTTGTTGGCATCTTATGTATCTGCTCTGCACAGTAGGTTGTCCCCAAACCTCCAAAACGTAGGCTGCATCTAAGTATCCTTCCACGGCTGACAGAACAAAGARGGCAGAGTGGTTTTTCTTTCTCTTTTATATGGTAGAGTTTTGTTTAGAGTTTAAGATGCTCTAATTTTGTGCCACACAAGAAAAAGTAGAATATGTGGAAAAGGGATGTTCCTTTAAAGGAAAAATAATAATTCTTTGTTTCCACTGTGGGAAAGTGACACATTTGCAGCTCCATCCTATGAGATTTCTGTTCACATGCAAGTCTGACAGCAGGAACCTACATTTACTCCACAGTCTCTGCTGTGACCCTTTTTTTCTGTCAGGTTCTGGTCTCGGCGTCTTGTTCTCACTTCTTTTTCCATGCAATTCAGTGCAAACTGATGGTGAAACTTTAGCAGTAACATCCGAGCCGAGTCTCAAACAAAATATTCAAACACACTTTGCAGTTCACCTGCTTCCCGCTAATCCCTTATGGTGCTTATTTCCACTCCAATCCCCTTGACACAGCAAAGTGGAGTCAGTGCACTTTAAGTGCAACCTGAAGGGTAAAATGAAAAATTCAAAAGAGATTCTTATTCTACACAGTTTGATATTGACTCTTTATACAAGCAGAAAGGCACAAATGTTTCCCACTGTAAATGTTGACATGTTTTTTTTTTTCCGTGGGTTTATGTGTGAGACGGTGTGTGAGTGGTGCTAAAGAATGGATGACTTTTGAATCCCAGGAGCGTCAGCAGTGAGTCTCTTGAACACTGGAGGATTTGGGTCAGCCCTTTAAAAACAAGATAGATGTGGTGTGAGATTGAAGTGGCGCCGGGAGCCGGGAGGGATTAATACAGCATATTGAGCTGTGATTCTCTGGATTAAGCAGGTGCTATATGGAATACCACACACGCATTACAGATTTGAGTTATTTTAGTCGTGCAGTTGCTCTTTTCCCCCTCTGAATGATGTAAATGCTTAAAGAAACAGCCGTGTGTGTGAACATTGAAGAAGCACACTTTGTCTGTTCACGCACGATTAAATTGGAAGCATTAACCCACATGTGGACAATCTATGACTGTAGTCCATGTTACTTTATCTTTGGTGGGGAGTAAAGTAGGTATGTGGGGTAATGTGTAAACCAGACATGCAGCTGCCTTAGGCAGAGTACAAACAA